TAAGAATAAGCCTGCCAGTGCAGGGGACGTGGGTTCGATCCCCAGTCCAGAAGATCATACATGCCACAGGGCAAAAAAGCCTGCATGCAGCAACTGCTAAACTCGAGCTCTAGGGCCCGCACACAGCAATAGCCCGCTGCCCTAGAGCCAGTGCTCCACAATAAAGAAGCCGGACATGAAGCCCATGCCCCACAACGTGAGAGCAGCCCCTGCTCTTCACAGCTAGAGAAACTCCCGGTGCAGCACCAAAGACCCACTGCAGCCAAAAGTAAATGATGAATCTGCTGCTGATCCGGAATAAACCTGTTTTATGGTTGCAGAAATAAGCAGCAGGTCAAGATCGTGAATCCAGGCCTATACTTACGCTGACTACAGCGTGAACCAGGGTTTTGCTCACATTTAAATTGTTTCCCTGTTTTGGTTTTTTAGCTTATTCTCAGAAACACACTGCCCTGGAGCATGGACTTTGCCTCTGACACCTTGGTCACCGAAGGAGAGCAAAGGGAATGTGTGTGTACGTGCGTGCTAAGTAACTTCATTCATGTCCGACTCTTCAACCCCATGGACTGTAGATCCCCAGGCTCCTCTGTGCATGGGGATTCTCCAGGCAAGAATACTGGAGTGGGGTGCCATGCCCTCCTCCAGGGGATCTTCCCAACCCAGGGATCGAACCTGCAACTCCTGCATTGTAGGCTGATTCTTTACTCCTGAGCCACCAGGGAAGCCCAGGCAAAGGTAGTATAAGCTGGCAAATAGGGCTAGGCTCAAATATGGGGAGAATGAGAGTTTTCTGAATGTCTTGGCTAATCAGGAGATCACACACCTTCTATCTGTCAGTCTCTGCCTTCCCCCTGGTCTGGGGGCATGCTGGCCACACAGCCTGCAGGGAGTGGAAGAATGATCTTTGCCACCAACTTCTGTTTCCCAGGGCAGACATGCAGGTAGATATCTGAAAACACGCAACATGATGGACTTGCTCCCAGCTGCCGCAACTCAACCTGAAGTGCAAACATCTCCTCTAGGGCCCAAAGAACACGAGCTTCGAAAGCCACTGACAAACTGCAAAATAGTTGAATGATGACCGAGGTGTTTGCAGCCCACCTGACTTCACCCTGGGAGGGTGGGGTGTGCGCATTGGCACTTTTAGGAGAACAATCGAGCCTGTCATATCCAGGGAAATGTTTCTGTGTGTCATTTCCTCTGTGTCTCATTTTAGAAGAGAGAATTGGATTCAGTCTTTGTGACCTTCGTGTTTAAGCCTTACAATGTCTGTCCTAAAAGTATTGCTCATGCAATTTTAAAGTTTAGGAGACAGCACTGAGACTGTTTTGGGAGATAGGGGGGATAAATCTTAGCAAGAAGTGATGCATTGGTAACATAGCAACAGGTCCAATTAATTAAATTACTCACAGAAATCTCCCACTAGCATCAGGAAGGGATTTGTATCAAACTCAGGGTGGAGTGTGAGTCACTCTGAGTCACGGACCATATAACCTCATAGAATTCCTCAGTTTGGGATCACAGTACCTTATTAACAAGAAAGGTGCATTTCTGAGTGTCTCCGTTTTTCTCTCGACAGTTCCTAATCATCCCAGATGAAAGAATATAGTCACAGTGTAGATTATCTAAAGTGGCAAATAATGTAAACATTCATGTGCCCTTTGCTTTCAAATACTAAGTGCATTTTTGGAGAGGTGGGGGCTGTTTGCTCCGTTAGAACAAAGAGCATTCCAGATGGGGGAAATGTCTATAGTCAATGATTTAAAGTGAAAACGAACTTTTGGCAAGTGTGAGAAATTTTAACAGGGTCAGTATGGCAACAGCAGAATAGATGAGGGAGAGAATGGACAAGGCCAGGTTGCAGAGGCAGGTGAGGGTGTGATCTGCCAGGGTAGAAGGAAAACCCAGGGAGATGATGCTACAAGTCCAGAGGGATAGATACAAGGGACTGGATTAGGGTGGTAGGAGTGGAGGTGACAGAACAGGCTGTGGATTAGACTATGGTGGTGGGAAAGGGGGTGATGGGGAAGGGGGGAGGGTTGAGAAGAATGAATAATCAAAGGTAGCTTCTAAAGCCAAGCCTGAGATGCAGGCCTTTTTGAGGGAGAGGTGGAAGAGTATGAATTAAGGGTCTCGTTTTGGCCATGTTAAGCATGGAGTGACCATTATGCGCCTAAGTGGTGATGTCCTGTAGGAAGCTGGGTATCCAAGTGTGGAGTTCCTGGAAGAGGTCAAGGCTGATGATGCTGATTTGGGTGTTGCTGGCTTCCAAATGGCCCTTAAAGCTCTGAGACTAGGTGGAATCACCTAGGGGGAGGATGTAGGGGGAGAGAAAGAAGGGCCCAGCCCTGAGGGGTGGAGGGCTGGGGCAGGAGGCGCTGTCCGAGGCCCTGAGATGGAGGGGCAGAGGGGAAAGGGTGAGGGTGTCGTGGATGCCCCCGGGGAGGGAGTGGCAGCTGTGCTGAGCAGAGGAGATGGGTCAGGAAGATGGTCACAGACAAGTGACCCGGATTATCATCAGTCATCTGCTCATGCTCAGTGGCTCAGTCGTGTCCGACTCTTTGTGACCCCATGGACTGTGGCCCACCAGGCTCCTCTGTCCATGGGGTTCTCCAGGCAAGAGTACTAGAGTGGGTTGCCATGTCCTCTTCCAGGAGATCCCGACCCAGGGACTCAACCCACATCTGTGTCTCCAGATTCTTTCCCACTGAGCCACCTGCGAAGCCCATCGGTGATCTAGACAAAGGCAAGGGAAGCATATGGAGTGTTTGGGAACAGAAAACCAGATGAAGAAGGCTGCGGAGACACAATGGAACACAGAAGGTGAAACAGACTTCAGACAACTCTTTCCAGAAATATTGCCTTAATTGTTATCATCGTGATACAAACGTGTGATAGCCTCACCCCATTTAAGTATCAGAAGATTGAGATCTAAGATCACAAGGTCTGTAAGGATTGGAGTTGGTTTTGAAACAGGTGGGAAAGGGGCAGGGCACAACCTTTAAAACAATGACTCGGCCATTAGGGACGTGACATAAACTTGTTAGAATTGATAAGACCTAAGATAGCAGAAGATTTGACTTTCAGGGAACCCGGAACCTCATGGGCTCATTGTAAGGCATTAGCATATGCTAAACAACACACCCTCTGGTGTCAAGATAGTTCTGAGGCTGACCATACAGGGCCAAAAAATGGGTGGTGACCCAATTTCTGGAAACCCCCACCCCTTCTGCCAAATAGTCGGAATCGTCCTCCCACTCATTAGCCTATGAAATTACCCATCCCATAAAAACCAACAACATCCTGCCCTGGGGCCTTTTGTCTTCTGAGATGGCTCATATTCTGTTTATGGAGCGTGTGTCTCCCTGAATAAATCTGCTTTCATTCTGCTTTGGGAAGTTCTTGAATTCCTCACGTGGTGGCCCATTCCAGGCACTTGCCTGAGACCTGGGACTTAACCATCCCTCTTGGGCCCCATGTTTTTCCTGCAGCAGTTTCAGCTCTTAAGCATACTTTTTTTTTTTTTTTTGCTTCTCACTCCAGTTCACTCTTGAACCCCACAGCTCCTCAGGTACAGTGAAGTGAAAGTGTTAGTCGCTCAGTCGTGTCTGACTCTCTGCGACCCCTTGGACTATAGCCCATCGGGATCCTCTGTCTACGGGATTCTCTAGGCAAGAATATTGGAGTGGGTATCCTTCCCCTTCTCCAGGGGATCTTCCTCGCCCAGGGATGGAACCTGGGTCTCCTTCATTGCAAGCAGATTCGTTACGTCTGAGCCACTACGGGAAGCCGCATAGCTCCAGGGGTAAGAATTAGCCGTCTAGGGGCATCACTGGAGGAAGAGAGAAAATGAGGACAGTTTCCTTTGTAAATGGCAGTGACCAGGGGCCGTGTGGGTGGGGTGCCCTCCCCTGGCCCTGGCGCCCTCCCCGGGGATGAGGTCATTGTGTCTGTATAGGTATAGCCTGCAACCGCTGTCTCAGTCTTTCCTTCGTGACTCTAAATCCAGCCTGTTAGTCCTCTCCTTATCTTAAACAAACTGTCCCAGAGCCTAAAAAGGAGTGACGGCTGCATTCCAGAGAATCAGATTTTGCTTTGTGGAATATAGGTACAGGCCTCCAAACAGCCCGGGAGGGAGAACGGTTGAAACTGCCAGGATCTGGCTTTATGTATAGGCTTGAAATAATGACATGAAACCGTCCCAATGCCACACTTCCTATCTAAGCTACCCCAAAAGAAAGGAGAGAAGGTATCAGGGTGAGGCCCTCAAGGAGGACAGGTAATAGGTCTGTGATGGGCACTTTGCTCATTATTCTAGAAGGATTCTCAGTCATGTCTTTCTCTCCCTAAACTCTTTCCTGGAAAATGGGAGGCTTGTTTTTCTTTCATGTAAGTTGACCTCAATAACCTTGTCAGAGATGTCTCATCTCGCAGTGAGTTTTCTGAAATATAAAGTGAGGAGCAAAGACCTTCAATATCTGGTCTCAGACATTTTTTTCCCCAAGCCTGAGTTCCTTTTTTGAAACTGAAAGTTACATGGATCCAACAAACTTATGTCAGTGTGCAGAGTCTTGGAATCGAGTTTTACATGTTTGAAGTGCAGAATCCAGCACCGTTCCTCCTGGAATGAAGGGCCATTTGCTGTGAAAGTGGCTTAACCTGCAAGGACCACAGGCTCAGGTTGGGCAGGGAAGACAGACACCTGAGGAAAGCCCCCAGCTTGGAGAACAAAGGCTACTCCACAAGGTGTGGGGTCGGCTCAAAGGAGCAATAGCCTTTGATCCAAAAGCTGCATGGTTTTCCCCAGAAACTGGTTAGCTAGTCCTCCGCTTGGCAAGGTTACCTGCCCCTCTCCTCCAAACGGCTCTAATAGGAGGCTGATCTGATAGACGGTCTGGAGTGGGCTCCGTCCTCTCAACCTCGACCTGCAAAGCTCAGAGAAGAACCTCAGAGGGCCTGAATCAACCTCAGGGCAAGTTACCAGAACCCATGACCCGTACCTCGGGCTCCTCACTTACTGCTGTAAATAGAGTGGGGTGGCGAGCCCCGGAGTAGGCACTTGAAGGATGTGAAGGGAGGTCCTCTTCTGGAGAGAAGGGAGGGAGAGAGGTGAGACCCCAGGGGCCCTCTCTTTGCAGAAGGAGGGAGGAAAGGACCTGCTCAGGAAGAGGACAGGACAACGCCTGAGCTGCAGAGAGGCCAGCCTTGCCCGCCTCCGTCGGCCCTGAGACCCGCCTGGCCCTCCGTGAAGAGCCCGTTCCAGCTCTGCGTGCTGGACCAGGAGCAGGCCCGAGAGGCAGGCTGCCTGGGGAGAGCCGGAGAAGGGCTCTGAGAGACCTGGGGCTACATGGGGGTGCCTGGGGGGCTCCCACAGCCCACCCTGCCGGAGGAAGCAGACACAGACCCTCCACTTGTTTGTAGCCGCAAAGACAGAGGCACCCACTTGGAGATGAAGAAGCAGGGTCTTGCCATCCTGGCGTGGAACAGGGGGAGCTCTGGCTGAACTGTGGATGGAGAAGCCTTGAACCCCCGTCGTGTGGCCAAGCCAGCTCAGGAGGCAAGCGGGAGGGGGAGCCAGGCTCGGCCTCCGGGAAGGCGGAGCGCCCAGCGCTGGAGCCGGGGCCCTGCCCACTGTGAGTGTGAGTCTCAGCTCTGCCTCTTGACGACAGGGACCCTGGACAATGGCCCTGGCCTCCCTGGCCTCATTTCCTCGCCAGCAGGAGGGGGACAGAGCTTCACAGGGTTGGTGGGGACTGAATGAGCTCACCCAGGGCAATGCTTAGAAGGGAGACTGGCAGGAATGAGCAGGCGCCCTGCATTGTCTTTTATTGTCTTGAAGCCGCACAGCAAGTGCCTTATTGATCCGGCCTGATGTCTGTGGTGGGGGGTAGGGACTCCGGGAGCTGGGGATGGACAGGGAGGCCTGGCGTGCGGCAGTCCATGGGGTCACAAGGAGCTGGACACGACTGAGCGACTGAACTGAACTGAAGGGCCACCCCAGGCCACAACTTGGCTTCACCATGGTTCTCACCTCCTGTCTTGTCTCCTGTTGTGATTTTAGTCACTAAGTCACGTCTGACTCTTTTGTGACCCCCATGAACTGTAGCCCACCAGGCTCCTCTGTCCATGGGATTTTCCCAGGCAAGAATACTGGAGTGGGTTGCCATTTCCTTCTCCAGGGGATCTTCCCAACCCAGAGATGAAACTCGCGTCTCCTGCATTGACAGATGGATTCTTGACCATCTAAGCCACCAGGGAAGCCCGCTTATCTCCTAGTGGACCCCTCAAAGAACATTTCGAAATGCCCAAAGCTCTGTAAAACCTACTTTGGAGAGAACTACACTGGGTGATCATGAAGCATCCCTCCAGATTTAAAGGTCTGTGTGGTTAAGAATTCCATAAAGTGACTTAGTCTAAACCAGCTTCTTTGAAAGGAAAGTATGTTCTTTGGGTCCCTCATCAAAAAAAAAAAAAAAAAAATCACATTTATAGACTTCCCTGGTGGTCCAATGGCTAAGACTTTGTGCTCCCAATGTGGGGGGCCCAGGTTCAATCCCAGGTCAGGTAATTAGATCTCACATGCTTCAACCAGGAGTTCGCACTCCCCAACAGAGACCCTGCATGCTGCAACTAAGACCCAGTGTGGCCAAATAAATAAATAAATATATATTTTTTAAGTCACATTCAGCACCAGGCTTGAGCCAAATGGTGTTTTCCAAGCCTCCTTGAGTCCGTGTTTTGTCCTGAGGCTTCTGGTCCCCCATCCTCCAGCTGTTCTGAGCACTGGACAGGCCTCCCCAGACCGCCCTTCGTGCTTCCATTTCTTCCCGTGTCGGATGTGTCCGTCTCTACAACCTGCAGTCACAGGCTGGTCGGCGGCCAGTTGGAACCACCAGCAAGCTCCCTCACCTCTCACCTGGGGTCCCTCCCAATGTCACCTTCCCAATGAGGCCATCCAGTCTACCCGGTAAACATCAACCTCTGCCCCCACCTTCAAAAGAAGGTAATAGCAAGGTCAAGCCCACTTGTTCAAAGTGGTGGCTTCCCTGACCTTGAAAGAGTGTGGTGATCCATTTTGCTTCCGTGACTAATTAAAATGTTGAATAAAACCCCTCCAGCATTAACACAGCAGATTTAGAGCCTCTGTTTCAAAATCTACTTAATATGAGGAGAAAGGACAGGAAGGAAAAAGCAAAAACAAACAACTGCTCTTGAAGTGACCAATAAATTAGGGTTTACTCTGAAGGGCCCGCCCACCTCCCAGAGCAACTGGCAACTGCTCAGTGCTAACAGGCCTGTGTTCTGGCCGCTCTTCACCCTGCAGGCTGCATGTGTGACTCACCTAGGGAGTTTTGAAAACCACTGATGCCTGGGAATAGGTCTGAAGTTGGCAGAAGCCTAGGCACCAGGGTTTTAAAAATTCCCCAGGTAATCGATGTGCAACCAAGACTGAGAAAAACCGCCCTGGAGTGATTGAAGGGCTTTCTAGGTGGCTTGGGGGGTAAAGAACCTGCCTGCAATACAGTAGACACAGGTGATGCAGGTTCGACCCCAGGGTTAGGAAGATCCTTTGGAAGAAGGCTTGGCAAACCACTCCAGTATTCTCGCCTGGAGAATTCTATGGACAGAGGAGCCTGGCGGGCTACAGTCCACGGGGTTGCAAAGTGTCACCCCTGACCGAAGCGGCCGAGTACACAGAGTGATTGAAAGTGCTGACGTGGCTCTCACGTCACCTGCTCTTCTGAGGTGGGTCCAGGCATGCAGCTTCGTAAAGCCCCCGAGGTGCTTCAAATGTGCAGCCAAGGTTGAGATAATCATTGCTCTGACTGGTTCTCAACTTGGGGGTCCTTAGATCGGCAGCATCAGCACCATCTACTAACTTGTTAAAAAATGCAAGTTCTCAGGGGCCCCACCCCAGATGGACTAGATCAGACTTCCCTCTGTGGTGTCACATGGGTTCATCAGGGGAGATATACCAAACATATTTATAAATTGCAATGCTGCCTCATCTGTGATTTTCTATAAATAAAAAAAAAATAGGGGACTCAATCAAGATTCCCTCTTCCTCCTTTTCTAGAGCAGGGGCACTTTATTTTTATTTTCATAGGAATGTAGAACAGCCACTGGGAAAAGACAGGATAAATCATTCATGACAGGAGGAGACACATTTGCAAGAACACAGATTTGTTGTCCACCCATAGGCAATTAAACGTCCAGGAGAAGAAAAAAAAGAGAGGGGAAAACACATAAATGCAGAGGTCTGTGGATTCTGAGTGGGTTTCATGCTTTTACCACTTTCCAGTTCTGGAACTTTTCATCGGCCAAGCCTGTCTAAACAGTGAGCACATCTGGCACTTTTAAGTTTTTAGTGTCAAACTAATTTTCTTGGAGCCCAAGCCAGACTCTTCTGGTAACTAAGTAACATCCCAAACTGTGGGTAACAAGAAATTCAAGCCAATGTGTAAAATCCTGTTTTGGGTCTCTCTTTTGCATCATTACTTTTAAAAACTCTAGAGAAGAGTTTCTCTGGAAGAGAGAAAAATGAGAAAAGAAGATACAGAGAGTACCCACAGAAAAAAATTCAGGTAACCCGGTAAACCCTAAAAGGCAAGTTGACCTAGAACCCACCCCATGAGGGCTGCACGCGAGGGGAAGGCAAGGGGTGAAGGCGCCTGAAACTCCGCACACAGCCCGCTGTCCCTTTCTTCCTTTGTGTGAAACATACAGTAAGGGGAAATCCCAAGTGGCTTCCAGGCTACAACAGCCTGAAGCTGTTAAGACACATCCCAAATCTTATGTTTCACAAAATCACCATGAAAGCAAAAAATAATGTTGACAACCCATTAGGAAGATAAACATCGCCTGTTCAAGACATTCTACAAAGCAAATGTTCTTAAAAGGAATTCTGGGGCAAGGAGTTTGTGTTTTGAGATTGGAACGAGCCTGGAAAACAGCTCTTGAACCTTTTTCAATGTGCAGGGCTCCCCAGTCATCGGTGAAAAGACCGAGCTGAGAGGAGGAGGAAGCAGAGCTCAGACCCTGAGCCCGAGGGTCATCAGAGGCATGGCCATCTTTGCAAAGAAGCTCCTGCCTCCCCTGATGGATGGGAAACATGAGTCATCTGGGGAATGCCTTAAAATGTAGGTTCCTCAGCTCCCACTCAGCAATTCTTATTCAGGAGGCCTAGGGTAGGATCTGAGCAGCCAGGTCTAAAGGACTTTGCCCTTGATGCTGATGCTAATTTGAAGGGCTCCCTTTGAGAAACATTATACAGAATTGGCTCTGGAGGATTTCCTGGTTTACTGGCATTTTGTGGCCGGTTTCCAGGTTATGCAAGCAGGGTATAAAATTGGAGCATCAACATGTTACCGTCACGATCATCATCACCATCTGGTTCTTGTCTTTATTTCCCTCAGTGAAAGGGCCTTTGCTCCAGCTTCCTGGAGCAGTGAGGAGTGTGCCCTCATCAACCCGAGATGTCTGCATGCCCGCACTCCTGCTCTGTCCCTGCAGGCACACGTCCCAGGACCACTGACCGCCATCGCAGGCACAGTGTCCGAGCGTGAGTGCCGCCTGTCTCACAAACTGATACTGATGCTCCTTTGATGTGGGAGCATTGCCACATCTCTCCATTTTCATTGGTTACTCTGCTGTGCCCGGGGCTGAAGGTGCCACTGACCCCGGCATGAAGTGTGCCCGCCCTAAAGCAAGGCCCAGGGCTAGCTCCAGGCTGCTGGAGGCTGCTCTGCAGAAGGAACTGGACATCCCTTCATCCACCTTGGTGACACTGACCCAGCGTGGCAGCCCTGGCCCTTGGACAATGTAATCCACACAAACTGATAAGAAGCCAGAAGAGAAATTCAGGCAAGGCTTTGCTGGGACTTGTGCTCCAGCAGGAGGGAGTGAGAATGCGTATCTGATGCCCGCGTTCAGTCCCTGGGGTGAGGGGGAAGGGTGAGAGTGGGGCTGGATTGGTGGGTCAGCCCGGAGAGTGGCTTAGGTGGTCTGCCTACGCCCCTGGTGGCGCTCTGTGTAGGATCGTTTGTAATACCCTGCTTTTGCTCCCAGAACCTCAGGTGAGGCAGT